TCACATAGGGGGGGATGGGATGGATGGCTCACATAGGGGGGGATGGGATGGATGGTCCCACATGTGGGGGGATGGGATGGATGGTCCCACATGTGGGGGGATGGGATGGATGGTCCCACATGTGGGGGGATGGGATGGATGGTCTCACATAGCTTCCTGAGACTCATCTTACATTTGATCAGGCCCAGCTGTTTCCACCACCATTTGGTGAGGCAGAAGTATTCATACTCTTCGGGTCTTGGAGTCTGGCCCCAGGTGAGTCCACTCCAATCAACCGCCATGGGCCATGCCTCTTCCTTGTCAGCTTTGAGGCTCTTCTGAGCTGTTTGGGATTTTTTTTCTTTTAACTAATTCACATTTCTGAGATTTGTCTAGCAATATGTCTGGGTTCTTTATCTTTCAGGCTCTTTTGAGTCTTTTGAGCCATTTTAGATGAATACTAGTTCTTTGACAGATCTTGTCTTGGGGGCCCCTTTGAGCCAATCAAGGATTCTATTAAATTGTTTGGGCATTTGACATTTTTTCCAACAGGTCTTGTATTGGGGGATTCTTCTGAGGAAATCTGGGTTCACCTGAGCTTTTGGGAGATCAACCAGTGTGACAAGGTGTTGTAGAATATTATTTTAACTATGTAAAGATGTATTACATTTGCTTATGCAGCAGAATATTACTTTTTACTGTGTAAAGGTGTGTTACTTTTGTTGATGTTGCATTTGTTTAATTATGAAAAGACATGTTGCATTTCTTCCACCTTGCCTGCCTAAGGCATCTGATTGGTCTAACAAAGAGCTGAATGTCCAATAGCTAGGCAGAGAAAGGATAGGTAGGCAGAGCTAGAAGACAGGGAGAATAAATAGGAGGAGGAATCTAGGCTTGAACAGAAGGAAGAACAAGAGGGAGGAGGAGGAGAGAAGGAGGGACGTGCCCAGGCCACGAAGCCAGGCGGCCACCAGACTGCAGACATGAGAAGCAGTGAAAGGAAGACACCCAGAAGTAAGAACGGTGATAAGCCCCGAGGCAAAAGGTAGATGAAGAGAAACAGGTAAACATGGCTAGCCTAGGCTGAGCATTCAAAACTAATAATAAGTCTCTGTGTCTTGATTTGGGAGCTGGTTGGTGGTCCAAAAGAAAAGGCCTGGTACATTTGGGCACCCATTGTGGGGCCTGTATTCCCATGTAGGGCCTGAGAAAGCTGAAGAGAGACAGAGACAGAGACAGAGACAGAGACAGAGAGACAGAGCTCCTTTAAGAAACTCTGCCATTCAGTAGAGCACATGAACAGTCTTTTTCACACTAAGTAGAAATAAAAAGCTAAGTAAAAATTCCTACCACAATGTGGCACTGGCATCTCAGACAACAGGAAGCAGTCTAGAGAACACAACATCCACATTCTCAAGAGGTGGGGTGGGTAGTTTTTGGTCATTTGGTGGGTTATGGATGTTTATCATCATTTAGTGGGGATATAGGAATATAGGACAGACAGACAACTATTAACTTCAAATATCTTACATTGGTATGGACTTTGGTATATTGATACAAATTTAACGTTAACCTTTTATACTGTATTGTATGTTTCTACTCTTGTTTAAGGGGTTGTGCTTATGCAGCTCATTTAAAATGTAATGTAGAATTAAACACAGGGTAGTAGTTAGTTATCTATAATAATCAAACTTATAGTCATGTTAGGTATGTTTTCAAGGTTAAACATATATATTTTAGATAAACAAATGATCTACAAACA